AAACTCTGGTTTTGGCATCAGAGTAATTCTAGTCTCAAAAGTTATTTAGGAAGTGTTCCCTCCTGTTCTGTTTTACAGAACATTTTGTATGAAATTATTAACATTTCTTCCTTAAATGTTTGATAGAGTTTATCAGTAAAGTTATTTGAGGTTTGGAGTTTTATAAGAAGGTTGTTAACTGTAAATTAAATTTCTTTCTTTCTTTTTTTTTTAAGACAGAGTCTCACTCTGTTTCCCAGGCTATAGCACAGTGGGGTCAGCCTAGCTCACAGCAACCTCAAACTCCTGGGCTCAAGAAATCCTCCTGCCTCAGCCTCCTGAGTAGCTGGGACTACAGGTGCCCATGACTATGCCTGGCTAATTTTTCTATTTTTAGTAGAGATAGGGTCTTGCCCTTGCTCTGGCTAGTCTCAAACTCCTGAGCTCAATAAATCCTCCTACCTTGGCCTGTCAGAGTGCTGGGATTGCAGGCATGAGCCAGCACACCCAGCCTAAATTAAATTTCTGTATTAGATATGAAGGTCTGACAATTAAGTTCATGAACTCCTCCTAGGAAATGTGCTATATATCTCATTGCTGAACATCACTATGGTCACCTTCAAAGTCCTCCTTGGGAAGCTAAGCACTAATGCCAATGCCTAGTCCACCTTTCAGAGTAATTTTGAAACTCTTTTTCTGGAATAGCCATTAGAGCCATCATTATATAAAGTCTGACAATTAAGTTTGCAAACTCATCCTAGAAAAAGTACTTTGAAGGATAGACTAGGTTCTGGCATCAGTGCATAGCTTCCCAAGAGGAATACCTCAAAAGTGACCATAGTGATATTCAGCAATGAGGTATGTAGCACTTTTTCCAGGATGAGTTTGCAAACTTAGCTGTCCAACTCCTAAGGGCTACTCAGGTTATTTCTTTCTTTTTGAGTAAGCTTTAATAGTTTGCAACTTTTAAGGGATGCATCTCTTTCAGCTAATCTGTTTAATTTATTTGGGTAAAGCTTTTCTTTATTATCCTTTTAGTAGATTTA